TTGTATGTGTGATTTTTGTATTATTTCATTATTTTTTTATTTCATCTTCATGTTTTATTTTATTTTTGAGTGAAATGTTAAATTTTTTGTGAAATTCACTCTTACAGCATATGACTGTAAAACCCTTCTGGCACATAGAGACCCCAGGCAATAAGTGTTTAACGAAGCTTTATGTACGTTTGTGTGACTGTGAAACGGCCCCAAGTTAAGTTAGGAACAGTGTTGCGCGAGTCAGTCACACATCAGTAGAAGAAACGTAATCCTTCTTAGTCTCCGTGTCTGTAAATAAAGACTGTGAAGAAGTCTAGAGTGTTCAGAGGAGGACAGAGTTTTGCTCAGGGTCACTGACCTCAGAGGTGTTCGTGATCTCTGCATCGCTCCACTGACCGCTTTCTGCTGACCATGCTTATTTTATCATTGTACTGCCAGCCATGAATTATGGACCAATGAAGGAGACAAATTGACAATATTTCTCTCTGACAGCTGACACAGGGGAACAATTTATTTATTTTTTAGTTGTATACATTTTTCTAGTTCCTGTTTTATTTAAAATGTTTAATTGTATTTTTTTTTAAACGGCACCTATGTTTTTCTTCTCCGTTACTGTTTTTGTTTTTGATACTTTGGAAATATTGTATGTAAAACATTTATGCCAAAAATGAACGTGAAAAGAATAGCATAGGAGCATTGTAGATGTATTTTAATACAATCCACATTTAATGTGCTGAAAAAGTTGTGCTTGTGTCAAATCAAGAAGAGATGTTTTGTATGTCTACTTTAACTTTAAATAACCGTGCGGGAGGCTTATGGGAAATGTGCCACTTAGATTTGTCTTTGCCCTCTCCAATTGTTCTCGCCTGAACAATGAAAACATTACTCACGTCCCGCTGAGACCGGAGACTATTTACTGTTTCTAATGTTTCAATTCTGGGAATGACTAAAAGCGGTCAACTTTCTTATAACCCTTTTCAGAGCTGATAATTAGACATTTTGTTTTACTTAGACACTTTCACTTCTGTCCTGGTGTGACTTTTGAACTCCGTAAGTGTTCATCTGTCCATCATATAGGTCTTTATATACTTGGTAAAATATTAAACTCAATCATATTAGATTTCTTTTATCACAATGTCACATTAGGTGAGCTTAAATGTGTCTAACTAGGGTAACACTTTAGAATAGGGAACAGTTTTTCACTATTAACTACGACTTTTCCCTCAATAAATTCCCAATTTGCTGCTTATTAATAGTTAGTAAGGTAGTTGTTAAGTTTAGTTATTGGGTAGGATTAGGGATGTAGAATAAGGTCATGTAGAATAAGGCATTAATATGTGCTTAATTACTACTAATAAATGTTTAATATTCTAGTAATATGCATGCTAATAAGCAACTAAGAGACGCTAAAATAAAGTGTTACCCTAACTAGCATCTCTACCCCAGCCATTTTAACATTTAATCCCTAAAATGTACTAGTATCTATTTTACTGCGACTACTGCTTATTTTGTTAGCGACTGGTATCTATTCCATTAAGTACTAGTGCTTATTTATTAGCTGCTGCTTATCATTTAATAGCTACTACTAACTTTTGACTAGCATAATAAGATTTGTTATGAGTAGCAATTACAACAGGTATTCTATACCTAATGATTAACTACTAGAATCTGCTAGTATCTAATCAATAGTAATAGTGGTAACACTTTAGTTTAGGGACCAATTCTCACTATTAGCTAGTTGCTTATTAGCATGAATATTGGCTGTTTATTAGTACTTACAAAACGCATATTCTGCATAACCATTGTCCACATCCCTTAATCTTACCCAATACCTAAACTTAACAACTACCTTATTAACTATTAATGAGCAGTAATTAGGAGTTTATTGAGGCAAAATCATAGTTACTTAAGCTTTATAGTGAGAATCAGACTTTAAAATAAAGTGTAACTGTAATAGTTTTTAATAAATAAGTACTAGTATCTAATTAATACTTACCAGTACTATTTAAAAAGATACTAGTAGTCACTATTGGAATACATACTAGTCAGAACTGAATAGTTGATACCTGAATGACAGATCCATATAGAAGTCAACAGATAAAATTTGAAATGTGTTACCAATAACAACAGAATAGTAACTAGTCGCTATTCAAATAAGTACTAATATATATTTAAGAGGTACTAGTATCTAATTAAGTACTAGTATATAGAGTATACTAGTATTCAATGAATAAGTACTAGTGTCTAATGAATGAGTACTAGTATCTAATGAATAGATACTAGTTTCTAATGAATAAGTACCAGTATCTAATAAATGAGTACTAGTATTTAATGGATGAGTACTAGTGTTTAATGAATGAGTACTAGTATCCAATGAATTGGTACCAGTATCTAATGGTATTGTAGTATCTAATGAATAAGTACTAGTGTCTAAAGAATGAGTACTAGTACCTAATGAATAGATACTATTTTCTAATGAATAAGTACCAGTAACTACTAAATGAGTACTAGTATTTAATGACTGAGTACTAGTGTTTAATGACTGAGTACTAGTATTTAATGAATGAGTACTAGTATCCAATGAATTGGGACCAGTATCTAATGGTATTGTAGTATCTAATGAATAAGTACCAGTATCTACTAAATGTACTAGTATTTAATGAATGAGTACTAGTATTTAATAGGGCCTTTCGCACCGCGGGAACCTTTTCATAGTACCAGAACTAATTGTGGAACTACCCACTTTTTGGCGTTTTCTTACGTCACTTCTTAGTACACACTCTCGGTGCGAATGCAACCCTTTAAATAGTACTGGGAAATAGTTCGCGCAAATTCGTCCCAGTACTTTAGTACTGTACATTTAGTTCTGGAACTAAAGTGGTGCGAAAGGCCCTAATGACTGAGTACTAGTGTTTAATGAATGAGTACTAGTATCCAATGAATTGGTACCAGTATCTAATGGTATTGTAGTATCTTATGAATGAGTACCAGTATCTAATCAAATTAATACTAGTATCTAATAAGTACTAGTCTATAATGAGTACTAGTATCTAATGATTGAGTATCTAATGATTAAGTACTAGTAGTTTTTGAAAAGGTACTAGTTCCTAAGGAATACGCACTAGTAGCTAAAGAATATGCACTAGTATCCAACAAATAAAAGTGAAAGTGACGTGACGTGGCCAAGTATGGTGACCCATACTCGGAATTAGTGCTCTGCATTTAACCCATCCAAAGTGCACACACACAGCAGTGAACACACACACCGTGAACACACACCCGGAGCAGTGGGCAGCCATTTTTGCTGCGGCGTCCGGGGAGCAGTTGGGGGTTCGGTGCCTTGCCCAACCTTTGGATTACGAGTCCGACTCTTTAACCATTAGGCCACGACTTCCCACAAGTAAGTACAATAAGTACTAGTACCTAATGGAATAGATACTAGTAACTAAAAAAATAAGTACTAGTAGCATAAAAATAGATACTAGTATGTTTTATAGATTAAATGTTCAATTAAATGCCATAACCCTGATAACAGTCATCATGGAGTATTAGTCAGAATGATGGTAATAATGCTGTTTAGAATGAATGGTATTGTTGAATTTTGAGGGGTTTCGATCTTCCTTAATGGGATGAAATGAAATCCATTTGTCTTGGAGTGATGAGTGATGCGTGGTGTTTTCCTTTTTTCTAAAAAATAGATATTCATAATAACATAGCATCCACACATTCAGTTGGTGTCATTAGACAGACATCCAGTCAGTGTAATATTGTCCGTCAGTGTAATGTTGGGCTGAATCCAGGCAGTGAGTCTGTCTGTAAGAGACTTCAGTCTCAACGGCTATTCAATACCTAATTACTCTCCTAATTTACTAAGAACACAGTCTGACGCATTGATTTGTGATTACTGTAAATAATACAGACACGTCTGAAGTTGAGCTCATTTTCCTTTGGTAGCTCTAACGGATATCAGACATTAAAGCAATAGGCCGTGCTTTACAGTGATTTTACAGTGAATATAATATTTGAATGGTTTTATTTGTATACATCTTAGAAATCAGCTAATTAAAAAAAATGAGAACAGGGTAATTAAAGATAGAAAAGCAGTTCTCTTTAAATACATTTTTAACATGGTGTTATATCTATATTTTACCTGTATTATATCTGTATTAATTAGCTATATCAGTATGACTATATTGGTTTCAATTATTTTTTATGTATGCATTTATGTATCTATTTGAATGTTTTGTTGTTACATTTTTAATTATTTATTTATATATTTTTATTATTTTTATTTAAAAAAATAGGTAGAATTTTAACAAATGGTTGATATTAGATAAACATATATCACAGATTTTTTTTTTTTTTCCAATTTAAATCCAGGGTAATTTGAGTTTGGAATGTTCTACATCAATACTCTCTGCTGGTTATTACTGAAAAAAAATCTTTAAATACAAATAAAATATAGATATAACACGCTAATGATAAAAAGTGTATTAATTATATCAAATTGACTATATTGGTATCAGTTATTTTTTATGTATTATTTAAAAAAAAAAATTATTATTTAATGATAACATTTTAATTATTTTATTTTCTTAATTGTTATTTTTTAATTAGATTGAATTAATTATTTTTATTGTAATATTTAATATAATATTTTTATTTTATACAACTTGTAAATCAGCTAGACAAAATCAAGAGCAAAGGGCAAGTTTAGGTAGAAAAGTGCTTCTCTTTAAATAGAACGTCCTGCTCTTTTTAAAGATTACTTGTCATCTCATCACATTAATCATCTCTAGACGCACTAATTCAGTCTTCCTCAAAGTAGCTCAGAAATGACCCACAGTGACCCTGCAGTTTGACAAAGCAAATCACCTTGACTCTCATCATTGTTTTATGAAAGCTGACGGCGCGAGTAGTTATCGGCGAATCACCCTGCGCTTTCAGAGTCAGTGTGCTGGAAAATCCTATACAATGGGTAGTAAAGCTTTATCTTTTCTATTTACCAGGTTCAGTGTGGGAGAAGTCAATACGACAGATTGGCTTCGAGAGGTGAGTCCAAGCGCTTATTTTAATCACAAGCCTATAAACCGCCTTAGAAACATTTTATGAAGGTTTCATTTCATGCCTGTTTATCAAACTCTCACATGTTGCTATTGTGAAAGGTTTTTAATTGGAAATGTTTTTACTGCGTGAAATCTCTTGGCCTGTCTTTTACAACTGCTTCTTTATAGAAAGACACTAAACCTGCAACAAGCACTGCAAAAACATCCCCGATTATTGATTGAGTTTTTATGGAAAGCTTTGAGGAGGAAAGGAGAAAGTATTGTCGCTATCAGAACTGTGAGAGCGGTTTTGTGTCATTAACTGTGTTGGAAATGGAATAGCATACTAAATATTCTGCAGTATATACTAAATACTGTTAAAAAGTGTGTAAAAGTACATTATGCACATTATATACATTATGAAGTTTCAGCGATTTTTTAAAATGTTTCGAAACAAGGCTCTTCTGCTCACCAAGGCTGCATTTCTGTAAAAAAAATACAGTAAAAACAGTCAAATCAAGTAACTGCTTTCTGTGCAAATATATGTTAAAAATGTAATTTATTTCTGTGATGTGCAGCTGAATTTTCAGCATCATTACTCCAGTCTTCAGTGTCACGTGATCCTTCAGAAATCATTCTAATATGCTGATATGCTGCTCAATAAACATTTCTGATTATTATCAATGTTGAAAACAGTTGTGCTGCTGAGCATTTTTGTGGAAAACCTGAAGCGTTCTTTGATGAATAGAAATGTCAATAGAGCAGCATATATTTGAAATAGAAATCTTTTGTAACATTCTAAAACTAAAACAAATCTTACTGACCCTAAACATTTGTTCATACTGTGCCCAGTGCACATACTTCATACTGCAGAAATACTAAGCTATATGCTATGAGTAAACAGTCTGCTATTCTGAACATCTCAGCTGCTTAATCTCATCGATTTGCTTTGAAAGAAAGAGTGATAATTTCCCAAGGGCAGTTCTTTTCCCCCTTTCAGTCAGATATTGCAAAAAAAAAAAAAAAGGTTATATAACAGTGAAATGAAACCATGTTGCAGACAGACGTTTGGGAGCCCATGGTGTGGGTTAATGAAGGACAGAGGATGACCTTTGAAGGTGTGAGATATTTAGTTACAGGACAACTGGTCCTGTGTGCTGAATAGAATTAAAATGGTTTATTTAATGAGGAATCAAATGTTTTGATATCTAAAAGTGCTTGATGGATGGTTGGTACTTTGTTTTGGTTTCTGTGGCATTGCTATAAGTAGCCCCACCCACAATATAAAGCTCCACCCATTAATATGAGTAGCTCCGCCCACTGTGTCATCCCATTATGACTTACAACTGTACATTAAACGTCAGATATTTTTCTGATTGCTGTGATGTGCAGCAGTGTCACGTTTAGTGTGGACAGAGATGGTTAGGACATCATAAGATGTTTTATGTCAATGTCAGCATAATTTTTTTTTTTTTAATGTCTATATAGTTTTTATAGATTTTATTTGCCAAATATTGTCCTATCCTAACAAACCATGCATCAATGGAAAGCTTTATTTATTCAGCTTTCAGATGATGTATAAATCTCAATTTAAAAAAATTGACCCTTATGACTGGTTTTGTGGTCCATGGTCACATTTTAGTTGTTTTAGTAATTGTACATAATTTAAACTAAATGAAAATGAGAAACTTGCTGAAAATAAATAATAATAATAATAATAATAGTTTTAATAAAATGTCTAATTTTACACATAATAATAATAATAATAAAAATAAATTTGTAAAAATATGTCTATATAATTGTACACATTTTTATTTCAGTTTTAGATATTTTTACACAAGTTACACAAATGAAAATGAGAAATGTTGGCAACTAGCTGAAAATAAATAAATAAATAAATAAATAAATAAATAATACTAATCAATAATAATAATAATAGTAATAATAAATAACATCAATGTATAATTATGATGATTATTATTATTATTAGTAGTAGTAGTAGTATATAAATAATAATAAATACATTGCATTTTAGTTTTTTATTTTATTTTATTTCAAGTAACGAAAGTGTTTTTTCATTTATTTTTTATTTTATTTTTTGTGTGTGTGGTTTTAGTTAAAATAACTCTGGTCTATGTTTTTTGTTGTAAAAACTAACATTATCAGTCAAAATAATAATAGAAAAAAACATTACCATTTAGTGATATTAACCTTTCGAATAGTAGTACAGCCCAATGCGACTAGTTTTACGATACAGTAAGGATATTGTTTTCCTTATGTTTATTCCCAACACACAAAATCACTTAGAAGCGTGTAATACCTTGCACACTTAAGAGGGATGTGTTTTCAGTTTGAAGTACTTCAGCAAACAGAGACAGATAACATTACGCTCCACTTACGCTGCGGCCAGCTGTCTGCCGTCCAGCAGCGCGGCTCCAAACTTCAGCGTCCAAACCAAACCCAATTAAACCTGACCCACTGTTGACAGCCCAATTTTTCAAGGCCTACCTTGATGTTTGTGTGCGCTGGCCTGACTGTGATTGTATTAAGTGCGGTTTCCTGAGTACGGGAATCTCCACCTGCACCGTTTTCCAAGCAGCGCTGGTCGGATGGCTCGATTCACCATAAGTGGCAGGAAGTTTGGCTGTAAACTGTTTATACTCCTAATTGACCTGTTAGTTGAGCGAAGGCATTTATCCGTGACATAACGGCCCGCTGATGTCTCTCTGCTCCGCCGACCGGCAGGGAATCATGAGCGAAATGAGTTGATGCAAGAATGATTGAGATGTGGATGTTTAGGGTCTGAAAATCATTGATAAGAGCCGATATTAAGAACATAATTTAGTGGAGGAGAGATTCTGAAGACAAATCCACCAAAATGGAAATTAAAATGATGCCAAAAGATCTCGTAAAGCGGTTGTGTTTATGATATGCAAATCACAGTTCGAATTTATTAACGTATTTATTTTATTCATTTTATTTTATTTTTATTATTTTATTATGTAATTATTTTATTTTATTTATTTTAAAATTCTCAACCACCAATATGGAAATTATGGCAAAAGTTATTGCAAAAGAGGGTGAGATGCCTGGCAGTGTAGTTTTATTTACAATCTGCAAAAAATCGCTCGGAGACATCAAAACAGTTGTATTTTATTTTATCTATTTTTTTATTATTTTTTTTAATTTAATTTAATTTAATTTTATTTTATTGATCCACTTAAATGGAAATAACAGTTATGGCAAAAGAGGCAGGGTTGCGTTGAGGTTTTTAAAATTGTTTATTTACAATCTGCAAACAATCACTCTGCATTTCAATAAACTTATGGCAAAGAAAAAGGACATGCTAAAATAAATTCTAGACTTTTCATTTATTGTAAACCGAATACGTAAAATCCAGTAGTGACCTTTGTTTTTTTTTTTATATATTGGTAAGTTTGGTGCAGATACAGTAAAATCAGCTGTTTACTCAAACATTGAGTCATGCTAACTTAATATTCCTCATATAGGACTGTATCAAACACATCTTGTGATGTCTGATGCCATATGAAACATGCATTTCTGTTGTATTTCTAGCTGCATGCATAATACACGCTTTAGTACTCCTGAAGCAACATATAGTTTCTGACCGGAGGAAATTATATATTGTATAAGCACATCAATCATCCATACATCTCCGATTATTGTGTTCACCATATGTTTTCCTTCATAATAGCATGAATAACTGCTTTTCATTGTCTGAATGATCAACAAAACACTGGCACCTTCATTCAGACCTGTTTTGACTAATGCACCCGACACTTCATTTCACTCTTGTGTGAGTTTCAGAAGAACCCAGTATGTGTTTTATGAGAAATATTTATACTCTTTTAATATGGTGCAAGTCTGATTTTACTGAACTGGGTGGGGAAGCATATAAAACGGCACACAACAGATGTGTGAGAAGCTCAAGCTGGAAAATGCTGCCGGAAAAATCGGCGTTCTCACAAATGTTTTCCGCCCTCACAGATGGCGTGCGGTTTAACGGGAATTCTGGCGATGCTAGTTTGTTTGTTATAGTCACGATCACCTGAAACACTTCTGTTTAAAGAGAAATGTATGTGGAAGAATAATGCATATGCTTCAGTACTGTGTGCTGATGTGCTGTCTGTGTTTGTAGTGTTATCGGTGCAGACGCAGGCAATGGTATCCGAGTTTTCCTGCCGGACATTGGGATGTTCATGGCCGGTCTGTCCGTGTGGCTGCTGTGCAGAAAGCTGGTCCACAAGCGTCCCAGTGAAGAAATGGCCCAGGACAACCATGACTTTGAGGCCGAGGAGAAGGTGGGTCAGGGTTCCTGCATGCCTGATGAATGACTCAAACACACACCTGCTCAACGAGTGACTCACTACTGCAGGAGGAAGACACGTTTCAAACATCATGAGGAATTTTCATGGAAATTTGATAGATACATTCATGCACACGAATGCTATTCATTAATTAATCATGAAAGTTATTCATTAATTTTGTTTAACAATTTTATTTTATAAAAATAAATAACCTAATAAATAAAATATATTCATTATTTACTTACTAATACTACTACTACTACTACTACTACTAATAATAATAATCATTCTTATTCTAATTCTAATTCTAATTCTAATTATTATACCAGTTGAGCTACCAGAATTTTTTATTTTATTTGCAAAAGTTTGTTTATTTATTTATAGTAATTACAATGCAGCAATACATATTATTTTATTAATAATAATATTAGTATGATATATAGCTAGTAGAACATATTATATATACATACATACATTTATTCATTTACATTTATTCATTTAGCAGACATTTTTATCCAAAGCAACTTACAAATGAGTATATATATATATATACTGTATATATATATATATACCAGAACATAATAAAAATAATAACAATAATTATTATTATTATTATTATTATTTAATTTATTATTATTGATTCAATAAAAAACAACAAATACATCTTAATTCTTAATACAACAACAACAGCAATAATAATCATAATAATTATTATTATTATTTGACATAGTCACCACTGACAAGCTACTACTAAATATATTGTAGAAACTTAATTTCCTGTAACGCTGCTCTGCAACGATTTGTATCGTGAAAAGCGCTATACAAATAAACTGAAAAAAATTGAATTGAAATTGAATTGAATTATGTCTGTTCCCTAGAAACCAAGCCCAACGCTACTAGTTGAGCTACCAGAACTTAGAATGAATTCTTGTAGTATTTAATTAATTCATTTTATTTTATTTTGATGTGGTCAGATATTTTTGAATAATAACTTTTGATTGACTTTTTTCCCAGACGATTGTTTCTTACTGTGCTATAGTTACATATCTCTCATATCAGCCCATGCTTTCATTCTTCTCTCATGATAAAATAATTTCAACTCAAATCTATATTTAATATTTGATAAGTAGCAATGCAATAAACAGTATAATGTACAGTCAGCCATTTATTATCACAAAATAAATCTGTATGTGTGCAATAATGACTATGCATTGTGTTTGGATGAATGAAAGTTTGCATGCATTGCCAGCTCAGCAGAAGTGTTGTTAAAGAGCTTTACTATGTGAAATGTCATAATCACATTTTTTTTTAACTCCACCCAAGTAACAGCTTTCCAACTTTTTGTTTTCCCAGAGAGAGAGAGAGCCCTTACAAAACTCATGTATTTCATGAGAACAGGTTTATTACAATATGTTATAGGATGAGAAACTTTTTTTTTTTTTGACTAGACTTGTAAAACAGCTCATAAGTATATTCTAGCTTAAGCTTTCCTCGTGTACCAACTTGATATCATCAGCTTTTTAATATCTAAAGAATGGCTTAATGGCTTGATGAGAGCAGTTGTTTTATTTTAAAACTTTGTTAATTTAATGTAATAATTTAATTACATTTTTAAATGATCAGTAGTCTTTGGTTTACATTACACTCCCAGAAGATCTTCTAAGTGTTTGTTTTGTACACTGTATAGATTAGGCATAAACTAATCACAGAACTGTTTTTTTTTTTTCATGTTATATACCATGTTATATGCATCTGTATACCAGAAGACATTAATAAAGTTAAAGTTAATAAGAGACTTACTGGAGGTGTAAAGAATTGCCTGTAGAGAAATGCTGTAGCTAAACGTTTACTGGTGTTTATGTGCTACTGTGAACAGGAAGTAGTTTCCTGTGCTGAAGGCCATACATATGGAGCCATTAAAGCTAGATGATCTTATTGTTTGAGTGTGAGATCAGAGCTAATCTGAACCAGATTAAACAACTCTTAAACAGACAAATGTCCTTCAAATGCACTTGTGTACTGCCGACTGTATAGTATATACTGTTTACTGCCTAATATTTGATCTAGTATATCAGACAGTGTATAGTATGCAATGAAAAACATTAAGTCATGCATTTTTTGTTCTATTTTTGTACTGTCAATTGTATTTTTCATCTATTTTATTTCAAGTTAAAAAGTACTTTGTTTTATTTATTTATTTACTTAAAAACCGTTATTAAAATTACTTATTATTATTATTATTATTGTATGTTCCTTAGAAGCCAAACCCAGTCTCAAACCCAACTTAATAATAATAAATTTAGTTACAATAATTGCAATTTATTTTAAATAATAAATTATTAAAAGTTAGTAAATTAATTAACTAAATAAATAAATTATTCATTTATTAACCTAATAATAATATTAATAGTAAAGACTGTTATTATTATTATTATTATTATTATTATTATTAGGACTTATAATACTATTTTTTCCAACACACACACACACAAAAAATGTCATTATCTGAAATAAAATAAAATATAAAAAACTAAAATGCTTTATTTAGTTAGTTAGTTAGTTAGTAGTTAGTTAGTTATAAATATAAATTATTATGGACTAATAAAAATGACAAAAACACAGATTACTAAAAAAAACTTAAAACATTTAAATGTAAACAGAAAATATAAAAACATGAAACATGGAAACTGTTTATTTTTTATGTTTATTTTTAGTATTACCATTTCAGTTCATTAACATTTATTAACATTTAAAAAAAGAATGCATTTTTTTGGTCATTTTGTTCTGTCAACTTTTTTCATCCACCATCATGTACTCGGCACATTCTGTCAATAGTTTTAGGTCATATGAGTTTGCATTCATACAGTGAATGTGCATGATTCTTATGTTCTGTGATCAAACACAGGAGGAGAATGACGAGAAAGTGGAAGATGATGATGATGATGACGAGATGCTCTATGACGAGGACTTTGATGCAGAAGACGAGGCAGAGGAAGAGGATGGGGAGGGAGGAGGTCTGGAGGAGGAAGAGGAGGAGGAGGTGCAGGAGAGCACAAAGATGAAGATTCTGCGCAGAGTAGCACGAGTGCCAACAAAACTCAAAGAGATCATCGGTAACCTCATCACAACTGCTGGACAAGTGGTGGTTACCATTCTACTGGGATTAACAGGTGTGGATACGTGATACATGTTTGAAAATAGGCAAGCATTCAAATGTTTGGGGTCGGTAAGATTTTAATGATTTTGAAAGAAGTCTATTTTATTTTATTTTTAAATTATCAATAGTCTTTAGTTTACGTCACAACCGTAACCGTCATAAACCATAATTTGCATCTTCAACCATGAACCATCTCTTCTGATCCAAACATCTTTTTTAACATGATCAATGATTTTGCTGTCACTTTTGATCAGACGAATGAATAAAAGTATTAATATCTTTAAAATAATAATAATTAGGGTTGCAGAGGGGTGGAAAATTTCCGGTAAATTTCTGGAAACTTTCCC